AATCGATCATTTTTCAGGAACCAGCATGAATCTGTAGGATCAGAAATTTTATGCTACACAAAGTCGAAATGCTTCATGTTTTCGACCGGAATCATAGAGCTAGTACACAATTTCGACTTATTTGCAGTGTTACTTTAAAGTATACATCGCTTAGTAATGTGTTACCTGACACAAGATCATTTTGCGTTCTGTGCACTACAGATTTACTGGCTACCGCAAGTGCACTTTAAATGATACCCAAAGATAGACGTTTCATAGGTGATATCGTTAACTCCGGTTTTGTTTTTAATGCGCTGTTTCTTCTGAATACAGAAGATGATGTGAGCACATGGGTGTTAGTCAAGTGAGAGGTAATTTTCTCCATTAACGAAACTGAAGTGTAAGCCTTCTTGTAAACACTGCATATGTTTCATTGAGTCCTGTAGACTTGGGCGTATTCGCAATTCTCTCTCTGCTCAAAGTAACTTATGTTTGAATCTTGACTATATATTCTTTTACCTTGTGAATTCATTGCCACATGGAGTGTGTGAAATGATTCGTCGAAAGTCGAATATTCAGTCTTAGGAAAAAATGCAGGATATAATTTAGACAGAAAGCAAGATGGTTGTTTCGAGACAATTTTCAGCACAAATCAAGCCATTTTTCCGGTAACGCTTATGACTGTGGAAATGTAGAGCAAGTAAATAGAAGATTCAAATGGTTGTTCCATGCAAATGAAACGCGACAACTTATTCTGTGTTTGCTCAAACTGTAAGTTTATAATCCTTTACAAATCCACGTACACATATTATACGTTTACGGAGAATAATTTTACAAGTGTTTGTGGAATATCTGACGTTGTATTTCTGAACATTGCTCTTCGTTTGTTACACATTTATCTTACGCGGTTACATATTTTCGTGTTCGCCTCGCACTTTTGGAAATTTGATTTCGTTAACAACACATCTTTCCACTTGTGCTTCTCAATACAGTGTTGTTCTTCTTTGGCAGTGAACAGCGTCACCACATAACAGAACGTGAAAACATTATTATAACTATAGAGTTATAATCGAAACCCCATTAAGTACTGCATGAATTTATTAACTGGACGTATGGAAACTCATTCCGGATAATAAGCTTCCTAACTATGTTGAATCTATACACTTTGCATATTTTGAACTCATTTTGTGAGTGAGTCATTGGAACTCCTTAGGCACTTGATCGATTGTCGAGGAATTGTGCCAGTCCCTGACAATGTGAATGGTATAAGGAATAATCCGCTACCTTACTGTTCAAAGAAGATACAAGAATTTCAAGGTTATTCATCAGTTTTTAACGTTATTCTATCCCAAAATGCGCAATAGTTTCGCAACGGTTTACTGACTGCTTACGTAAATACAGCGCTTACATCATGTGATCCGTGGAGACAGTAAAAGCTGTACCTTCCAGCATGTGGAAAGCATGTGTTTGGTGGCCAGATAAACAGCTGGTAATTCTCCACCGAAGGTGCTATAGCGACACTAAGTAGGAATCAGTCGTTTTGAAAAGAATGCGAAGGGCTGGCATTCACCGAGTACTTGTTGTGGCAGAACCGCCCTAATGGCAACGTTTGAGTTGTTCGGCATGAGGGAAAAAATGCGCATTATCTTTGCTTCTGACTGTGAGTGTCTTCTCGTTTAACAGCTGTTATTAGCAAAACAACACAACAACTCACCCAGTGAACTAAGAAATCCTGAGTTCATATTGCATCTCAACTCAGATATAAGACACGTAAAAGGTAACAATAATGAAGTTGCAGACGCTTTGTTACGTTCGCACATAAACAATATTGCATTTTACAGTGTCGATTGTGAACATCTCACCATCCTATGGTGAATTGATGGTGAACTAAAGAAGATTATGTCTTCTGAACACCATTAGAGTCCAACAAAGTTCCCTTTTGAGAAATTGCATGGTCTCTCACACTCCTACTTCTATGGTGCTGAAGGAAACATCTATATGGCGAAAACAAACATCGATGATATAAGGTGGGCGTAAAACTGTTTGTCTTGTCAAAGAGCCAATATTTATCATCACATCAGTGAACTGTTTGGTCCTTTTCCTAACACTAACTCACGACTTGATCACATACATACAGATATCGTTGGTCCAATATCTGTTTCCGATGGTTCTAGCCATATTTCACTTGTATCGCTAGATTCACTCGTCGACCAGTAGCAGTCCCGCTAACAAAGGAATCCACCGAAACATTGGCTAAAGCTCTGGTCGAAAACTAGTGGTGAATTTTGGTCTTCCGTCCATTATCAATGACTACAGACGGAGTGTAGATTTAGAAAGCCGTCTTTTTCAACAGCTCTCTGAATTACTGAGAGATGCGCAAATACGAAGAAATTAGTATCACCGTGTTTCCACTGCGATGGTTGAATGATTTCATCGCGAAATGAAGACTGCACTTGCTGTTTTTCTGACCAAATAAAACATGAGTTTTCTTTCAGATAGAATAGCCTTGCAGTATCATTCAATGCAAAGTTGGCTTCATTAATTCAAGACGTTATTTTCTTCCATTTCATCGATACGTTTCCCTGGACGTAAGCTGAGACCCGTTTGAAAATGTGCTTGAGAACCGACTATGAGTCAACCACGCAGTTGGATAGTCAAGACAATATGCAATGCAATAATATTGGTTATCTTAATGAACGATAGAAATTTGGTAGCTCAGTGATAATAGTAGGCCATCAAAATATGTCCATTCATGATTCAGCAGACATTTCTTACTGAGACAAATAATATTTAAGTGAAAAGTCTGTTCCTGTGCTACGGTGGTAAATTAGATTATTATAATTATTACTGCTTAATCATCTGTAGCACGTATTGAGTTCAATCGATCCTTTTTTGAGAAATTCATTACTCAACAGTTCGTAAGTACATGAAAGTTAAATGTGTGTCATGTGAAAAACATCAGTTACTTCATGATTTCTTCTTGTTCATGATAAAACATATGTCGATTATCTTCACGTAGTGGAACGCACCTCTGTGATGGATAAGTGTTTATTATAATAAGGTTAATTACTGTCATCTGACAGTGTTTAGAATGTGGATGGCGTATATCTGATTGCTTTTGTGGAGTGCTGGAAATATCTTGATTAGCCTCATGACGTTGTGATCAAACTGAGCATTGAGTAATCGAATTTCGTATTCCCTAAGGAAAAATTTATTTTGTCTGTAGTGGCTACCACGAAGTCTGAACGCATGACCTGTTGTCGATGAACCCATTTTAACAACCTGAAATGATTGACGATTAATTTGAAAAGAAAGGAATCCACTACTTGAGTCATACATCGTTTCAATATACATCATCAGAATTTGTATTGTCTGTTGCAGAGGCATATCATATTCCGAATTGATATTTCAAAGTAATCAACAAGGTTCGAAGAAAATAACATGTACACTTTACTGGAAATATCTCGCGTGTATGGACTGTTTACGGAATCTCTTGAATAGAAGTGTTTGTTCAACTGTCCGCTCAGACATCCGTTACCGCATGAACTTGTGACTGTTTTGTAGGTGTTTCACTGATATTTCATACAGGTGTAGACACCATCAGTTCTCGGGTTAATTAAGGACTGCAGTACTTGATGTTCTAATTACCTATCACATGAAATGTCTATAGTCATGCAGATTATGAAAATTATCGCACAACCTGTTTCTCAAATAACAACTTTCGAAAATTCTGTAGTAATATACCATTTCACAAGGTTTATTCACATTATGATGAGATGTGGGTGTGTAGGCAGTGTAGTGTTTCAAGTGAAATGAGGTGCACTGCTTGAGGAACCAATTTGGAATGAGTTCAGTGACGTCATGTTCACTATGATCATCGTCATTCTGAAGTTCTGGGATGGGGCTATCGGCTAAATGGAGGTATGAATTGGTCGAGACACCACTGCAGTTAAATATACTTAGTCTGATTTGTATATACATTCTTCCATAAATAACCAACTGTATATTCTTTTTTTAAACCATTTGATCACTGAAAATGAAAGAAACAAGACTTTATATAAGTGATGCCTTCAGTCAAACGATTCAAAGTAGTAATCTATCATGTTATGGACAATGATGCAGATAGAGCATAGTCGAAACATGTATATAAAACCATTTTGTAAACATTGCGCTTGCATCCAAACATCGGCGAATTATTTTACATGAGCTATACTTTTAAGCGTCATCATTGTCTTCTGTTAGTGTTCATTCTGAGCATAAAGCAACCCCACAGGAAACAATACACTTTCACAGTCCTCAATCGTTAACGATCATGATATTTATTCAGATAACTGACAGCCTCGTGTCAACTACAAGTGGCATGGATGAGAATTTCAAATGCAAGATTGAAAAAGAATGACAGACCTTCAATTATCTGAAATCACTGTTGAAACGTGCTGCATGCAGAACAAGGAATAAGCTTGAGATTTTCATCACAAATGGGCTCGAACAAAGGAACATCTTCCTAGTTTGCAGCATTTATATCAAGTCAATCTATGCCTTTGCATGATTCAGAGGCTTAGTAAGTCAACGAAACTGATTCCTAGAATCCACTACAAATATTTGTCATCAACTGCCTTCCGTGGTTCGATAGCGAAGATCACATTTTGTGAAGGGATGAACAACAAAGAACTTCGCCGTCGTGCAAACCAGGAACGTTGTGCCCAATGAATATGCAGAATGAAATCAGGGTGTACAGTACATGGTTTGAGGAGATCGTGTTAGTGACGCCAAGAAGAACCTTAAATAGAATGCGGATGGGAAATGACGATTTCAGTGTTTTTCTAAGGTCGAAATAGAGAAAATCACTTAAGGAGGAGATTAATTAAGTCAGGCAAACACCACTCCGCTGAACTTGGTGAGGTGCACATAGGCTGTTGAAGCCCTTAATTCCACTGGAAACCCTATGCAACAATGAAATGTATTAAATAATAACAATAATCAAAAGCTGCCTTCTAAATACGAAATAAGTATAATATATACATTAATTAATAATGAAACTGAAAAGCGAAATTGGTACGTTGTTTAAAACAAAACAGAACAGAACAAGTGATTCAACAAAGATGGTTATAATATACTGTCGAAATGAGAAGGGTGTGATGTGAAACCGAAAGAGAATGAGAGTGATTCACATTTGTACAAATCGTAAAGATGTCATATGAAAATAAAATGTGGTAGACAAAATTATGAAAGAGTACTGATATCTCTGATAAATGTGAATGAAGACGTTTTATTCCTCTACTTTTTCATTTGTAGACAGAAATATCTGGTTGTTTTCATAGGTGAAACGTATCGAGTGTTAGCGAAATCACAGAAATACCAATGTTTTCACTTGGAATGAGATTCTTGTTTATTTCTCCGCTGATGGGTGTTCAGATTCAGCTGGAGGTGAGGGTTTTGATCCGTCATTGTTGGACATTGGTGGTCCGAGTGAGGGGACTGTCCACCTGAAGGTGGTTGGTAATCGGTGCAGATCCCTGTGGGGATCCTGGAGGAGGGGGTGGTGGTAACTGAGGAGGTCGTCCATCTGATGGCGGTGGTCCAAAGTGTGGAGGTTGCCCGCCTGATGGCGGTTGTCCAAAGTTTGGGGGTTGTCCGAACGGTGGTGGTGGTCCGAATTGAGGAGGTTGTCCGAATGGTGGAGGTGGTCCGAATTGTGGAGGTTGTCCGAATGGTGGAGGTGGTCCATATTGTGGAGGTTGTCCAAATGATGAGGGTGGTAGGAAATATGGAGGTAGTCCATACGGTGGCGGTTGTCCGAATGGTGAATGTGCTCCTAAATGAGCAGTTGATCCGAATGGATTTTGTGGTCCCAACAAGGGTGGAACTTGTGGAAGTCCATATGTGTTCAGAGGAATACCTAGTGCACAGCGTAAAATAATTGAAACAGTCTCAATTACATTCAAAAAATGGAAATAGGTAATTGATTTTGATAAAAATCCACACAAAGTTAGACCAACTTTTATGTCAATGAGACTATGTTAATCACAGATAATTTCTCGAGAATAACTGCGCAATTATTCTTACGAAAAGAATGCACAAAATCATGTTACCAGCTTCTGAGCTGCTCAGTGTTTCTCTTTTCCGAAGTTCAAGAGATAATGAAGTTTCGCTAAAGGGTAACATATACGTCGGATTAAGAGTATTAATCCTGAACACAAAATCAGTATCACTTTTATGAACAACCGTTCGACGTAAAACTAATCTGTACTAAATAGTCCTACAAAATCCACCAGAAGATATCTGCGATTTCCAACATACTTCTGAGAGCTTTCCGAAGTGAACGCCAAGTGAGAGGCTACGAGGACTATTTTCATGTGACTTCAAGCTTTTACTTGCAAAACCGATTCTAATTTTCTCACTTGTGCATTTCAACAATGAAATGTAATACTACTACTACTACTAATAATAATGATTTGCTTTATTCCAAAACAGTAGTCATGATAGCGTGGGGAATTCTCATCATTCACTACAGTGTTGCATCAATTTTACTCGATAAGCAAGCGGAAAAGCAAAGACGAAATATAATATTACATGATTCATAATCGCAGTCTATTGTGGTAATTACAATGATAATAAAATCGAAATTTCAAAGAATGTGTAAAACAGTGATAATAATATTTTTATTTCAATCGTAAGTTAACAGTACTCATGACGAGTACTGTTTTGGAATAAAGCAAATCATTATTATTATTAGTAAGTAGTAGTATTACATTTCATTGTTGAAATGCACAAGTGAGAAAATTAGAATCGGTTTTGCAAGTAAAAGCTTGAAGTCACATGAAAATAGTCCTCGTAGCCTCTCACTTGGCGTTCACTTCGGAAAGCTCTCAGAAGTATGTTGGAAATCGCAGATATCTTCTGGTGGATTTTGTAGGACTATTTAGTACAGATTAGTTTTACGTCAAACGGTTGTTCATAAAAGTGATACTGATTTTGTGTTCAGGATTAATACTCTTAATCCGACGTATATGTTACTCTTTACGAAACTTTATTATCTCTTGAACTTCGGAAAAGAGAAACACTGAGCAGCTCAGAAGCTGGTAACATGATTTTGTGCATTATTTTCGAAAGAATAATAGTGCAGTACTCATGATATAGTGGGGAATTCTCAGCATTCACTACAGTGTTGCATCTAATTTACTCGACAAGCAAGCGCAAAAGCAAAGACGAAATATAATAATACAGGATTCATCATCGTAGTCTATTTTGGTATTTACAATGATAATAATGTCGGAATTTCATAAAATGTGTAAAACAGTGATAATAATATTACAAGTTAAAATCATAAGTTAACAATCTGTAGGAGTAGTGGTCGAATGATTTGTCGTTATCTTGACTTCCTAATGTAGAAGAGTACACGGCACATATTCTTGGCAATCGACAAGATGCAGGATGACGGAAGAAGAGAGGTCATGGAATAGTTCTACTTCAAGATATTTTATGTTCGACTTGGTTTCTGTTTCTGTAAACATCTTTCGAAGCATCTTCGCCTCAATGTCAAGTGAACTGTCTGAAATTTAGAGTTATTTAGAGGAAGACCATTTAGCTTAGACCATTGTGTGAAATCCGATAAGAAGCTGTTAAGTTTGGAACAGTCAGATCGGGCGTATTCGAAATGAGGGCGACTATTCCTGGCTGCCTGTTTGAATGTTAGGCTACCCAAATTTGCACATTCATAAAGCACCAGATTTATCGTGTTTTAATTATATTTATATAGCAAAGTAAGACGTCAGTTCATATGTACGTGTAACAATAACTCAGTTCAAGCCGACTTACTGTTTATGTGAACATTGTAAATGTCAGCACCGATTAGTAGAAACAAGAGGATACTTCGCATAATTTTCACACACTTTTCGCAGTAATCAATCAGATGAGAACAATCTATGAAAAAGAAGGAAAACAAGTTTGATGCGATGAACAGAATGAAAATACGATGATAATATCTGGTCTATCTGTAGTCCTCACTTTTTATATATAATAATAACAGCTTTATTCCAAACAGTATTTGTGGTACAGGTATGGAATTTTCAGCGTACTTTACATCAAAGGATAACTGAGGCTAACTGCAATCGACGTGAGAACGTGACAAGCCAGAGCCTATTCACCAGCTAATCTAACTTCCGTCTATCGAACAACTTGCTCTTTGTTGCAGTAAAAAATTGACTCATATCCTTTGCATGTTAACCCCAACTGTAAATACAAATGTACATGCATCTGCGGAAGCAGTTAGATTCGGTGAGCAGAAAGAAGGGCGTAGGTACGATTTTCCGAACATGTACCAAAAAGCCTATGTCTAACGGAGACAGATGCTTTCACAGTGCCGTTACCAGGCATCTCCTTGACACGGGTCATGAGGTGAACGTCACATGATGATTCAAAACTATCAGTAGGTGAGGGAATTTGATTCTCCCTAAGTTTTCCGAAGCAATCTCCATCAAGCTCATTGAACCTGATTTATGCGTTGAGAAGGAAGGGGATGTCAGTCTTTTCTTGCACTGCTCACTGGACGTTTTTCGCTCTCCCCTTCATCTGATTAAACAATGTCGAATGTTTTCATCGTGAATGATCATTATTGTTCGGGACAAAGTGTTTCTTATTATCATCACTAGCATTGTATACATATATTGACTGACTAATGTTTGTTTAAGAATGAACTCTTCAGGGATGTCAAGATTATTTCTATACGTGTACGTAATGATGCTTTTCAGTTGTGATCAGGTGATAAGAAGCCGACAAAATAAGTGATGGTACCATTCTACTCTGCGAAAACTGTTGCTATTGCTCCGTTCAAATTCATAAAGCGTAATAAATGTATGAAATTTATGCTCTTTATTGATGATTGTAATAATAGTAATATTAAATGATAATTGATTGTCATAATAACAGTAATAGTCAGATGGTAATAATAGTAATAAGAATTAGTAATAGTAATAGCAATAGTTAGACCTACCAATTTCTCTAATGACAGATGAACTGATTAGCTAAATATAAATGCAGTATTTATATAGTTGCTACCTGTTACAAAATCACAGTTTATTATCATGTACATATCTTGATTTATTTAGGTCATTCGACTTCTTGTGTGACTGTTTCGAATTAATCAGCTCACTGGTACATGATTAGTTCGTTATAATAAAAACAGACAGAATTAGTCATTCATTAGAAATAAATGACTGTCAACAATGTATGTCTTTGTGTTTGTGATTTTGTTTGATAGTGCAGTTACACACTGTTTAACACATTATTAGGCATGAAGTTGTCAATCAAGATCTGATGATTGATGTCTAAGTCTTTATCTTGGAAAAAGACTGTTGAGTGTTGACTTCGATGGTAGTGTTTAAGATTAATTAGTTGAGTGTTGTTGACCTGATACACAGTGGATGCTTTTTGAACACGTATCATCCACTCGATTTTGTAAAATGCTGTAGGCTGTATGTCTACGACAGATAAAACTTTTTTCTGTCTTACCTCTAATGAAATGTTCGAATGATGAAATTAGGAGTATATTTGTGATGCATGAATTTAGACTACCCAGTAAATACCACTAGTCAAATGAGATTCTTCTTTAACTTACGCAAAAGGCTATAAACAAAAAAGCAGATACAAAATGGTAAAAAAGTTATACATATAGCAAGAATGTGGGCATTGCAAGTGTTATGGAATGATTTAAATGTCCAGTCGATTTATTTACTCTTATTATTATTGTTCCGTTGGATTTAGAATAAGATATAGGGCTTCAGGAACACAGCTCCACTTTGCTGTATTTTCTGCGATCCTCTCCAGCTGGGTCAACGATTCGCTAACTCTCTCTCATCTCCTCCTATTACGATTTCCTCCCTGTCACCCTCGCACTGACGACTGACTCGCCGCTTCCTATTAGTTTTCCACTCGATCGATGACCTGCACAGCGAGCGAGGTCATTCGACGATAACCTCAACGTGTACACGATCCATCTCCATTTCCTCCTACATATTTGTTGAGAAATTGGCTCTTGCTCCGTTGGTTTGTTATCAGCCGGAGTTTCTTGTTGCTTATCATTTCTTTCTGGCTATTTGATCTTCAGTATAGATCCAGCCAGTGAAGGTGGAAGCTGTTGATGAAAGTCTCGTGTAAGTCTGCGGTGGCCTGTTGGAAATCCTCTTCGTGACACGCAGTGCAGGTTTCTCACCCTGACCTATTTCGCATTGGTGTTGAAAAACTGAGTCGTGTTCCTTGTAATGAGTGTAGAAGATTACCAAGCTGGTTTCAGGTTGATGAATGCGTTTCTCGCATTTCCGATTCTGACTGGCTTTGATATGTTCATCAGCTCCGGCTGACTGCAGTTGAATCGCTGCTTCCTAGCCGGATAAGTGAAGGAGGTAACATCTGTCACATCTCTCGTGTTGATGGTGATTGGTGGTGGTTGTTGTCCTTGTTGTGGTTCGTTGGTTATATTCATCAACTCGGCCTATCAATGTTCACTTGGAGTGCTGTCTTCGCTGCTGGCCTCTTCACCCAGTTTGTTGGTTTCAACCTGCAAGTCTTCGAGTTTGTGTTACATTAGACATATATCATCCAGGCGCGAAATACAGATCGTCTAGAGTCTTCTTATCGGCGGTGCAGCGTATTCCTGTCCTCTCACTCACAACGCACAGTCTGACGCATAATCTAGGCCCCTAAAATGAGGAATATCACCAGTGATAGTGGACAGCCAGCTTGTCTTACTCCTGTATTCACTTCGAACGCTTCGCTGAGTTTTCTTTTGTGGAACACCTGACACGTGAAACTGTCACAGTGTTAGCTGTTGGATGAGGTTGACAAAGCCTTGGACACTGTACGCCGTAGTGTAGAAGTAGTTTCCAAATTACTTCTCGGTCAACGCTATCTGTCGGAGGTGTTTTCGAAGTTGATCAATTTGAGGTGGAGTGGTGCTTGACTGTCATTCTATTCTAGGCTGTGTTCTGTGATGACGATGCGTAGAGTTACAATTCGATGAGGCTATGATTTGTTTTCTCTGAATCCAGCTAGCTTGTTTCGATGGGGCTGGCGGATTTCTGTGTTTAGTGCACTCTCTATTCTCTCCGGGATGATCCGACGTATTATTTTATTCGGCGTGGACAAGAGTCAGTTCTTGCAGAGTGAGGCGTAAGCTGCTATTCTTTGGAAGCTTGACAAGGCGGCCAATCTTTCTTCCAGTCGGTGGGTGCCTTTCCTTCTTTCCGAAGCGTTTGAAATAATGGCGTGACCAAATCTGCGGCATTCTCTGGATCCTTGGCAAGTTGCAGGTGATGGTTGATTCAAGAGTCCTGTTGAGTGATGTGCAAATTGTTTCATTCGTTTCTCTTTCATGGTGACAAGGTTCCCTCGCACAAATTTCAAAGGTTTCAAAGGGTTGCTTTTTCCGGATAGCGAGCAGCCTGGTTGTCTGATATCATGTTCTGAAGTCTCTTCCATCTGTGGCCTGCTTGTTCTGCTTCAGTTACCTGCCATTGTGTCGTAGAATTGTCTTTTGTCTTTCCTGGCTCTCTTCTTCACTTCTTCATTCAGTGTAATGTTCACTGACATGAGTTCCTCGTTCTGTTGGTCGTCTTTGCATTGAGTCATCTTCCCTTGCACCATTCCTCTCTCGTTGATTAGCTTCCTGGTATCCATTGAGAGTCACTCCTTGTCCTTGAACTAGATGATGATGTGTGCCCACATCTGTTTCCCTTCTCGAGCAGACTAGCTGCGTCTCCACTTCCTTGAGCAGCATCGAGATGAAATCTTGCTGGTTTGTGGTGTGTCCATTCAAACAATAGAAAAACAAATTTGAATTGAACAAATGTGTTGGTGAAGACAAAGGGTGATATGATAAAGTATCTCTAGCCTTATCATAATGCATTTGTCCACCCTCACTTCATTTCACATCATATTTCGTGTATCTGTCTATCGATCTTGTCAATTAATACGATGACAATACTTTGTTGAGAGAAAGAGAGTGGATTGGGTTACTCGGAAGGCTTTTAAAGAAAAATGGGACTGTTGGAATTTCGACTGGATCAGTTTGTTATGTAGATGACGCCCTTCTGTGAATTTAGTTCCGGTTGAAGTCCAGTAGATAAGTGTGGAAGTAAACTGCACTCAGCAAAACGAACAAGATCGGATTTTGAACAGTAATTTCAAATCACTTCTAATATACTGTTGAGAGACCTGGTGGGCACATCACCGAGAGCACTGGCAATAGGCTATTATGGAATTTCAACAACAGCTACATTTGCTCGTCACCAAAGATTATATGGCCAGAAGGGGTAAGGGCAACTGTTAAATGGAACACTAATCTGAAAGGATCAGTTGAGCGTGTGTGTGAGGGTAACATAAGAAGATCTTTTGAGAATGAATTGAAAGTGAATGGGGAACCTCACTGGTTCACCTCAGTGGTTCACTTAATCTATATCAAGTCCATCAGGCTGTGCAAGACTACATCAAACCCTCTTGTTGAGAGGATAACGCAGAAAGTGACTAAATCTCAGTACTTCACTTATGAGACTATGACTGCATCCACACCATCATGCATAGTGTCGTGAGAAGGACTTTAGTAGATTCACTGATAATGTACCAAGCATCTACACTGAAAAATGTGAAAAACCTTCTCAGAATTTCATTCAGCGATGGGATCTGTACTCTGATGATATTCAGTGGATTACGTAGTGAATTTCACGTGTTAATTATTATTCATCCAGTGTATGTATCTTCAAAATTCCACGGTCATCCACAGATACATCAACCAACAGTTCCATTAAGACCAGTGGTAGATTCCATCAACTCATTGGCACACAATCCCTCCAAATAATTATTTTCGATACTGCAACCACTGCACAA